TCTGTAGGACTGCGTTAGGATGCCAGAGTTAGGGGATCATGGAGGCTTCCACCGAATTTCAAAGGAAGTCCTGCAGGACCGGCAAAGTGTAGCTGGGTCTGAATACCTAAGAGCTGTCCCTAAGTTCCCACTTGGGGGAACACATGAAGCTGTAAAGGGGAAGCCAAAGCCGGGAGGGAGACCCCAGGAACTGAAAGATGCAATAACGTGGACTGTCTGCTGGATGCAGAGAGCCATGCTCAGAGAGAGCCCAGGTGCACTGCACCAGGCAAGGCCAAGGAGTGGGGCTGCCGAGCCCTGGGGGAGCCCACGGCGCTGCCATGCGTCCCAGATGCTCCACTGGGACCTGTTTGCCTGGCTGTGTTTGGGACTTGCTTTGCCCCCCTTCTTTCTTAGCCCCTATTCTTTTCTTTTGGAACTGGAATGTTCACTCTGTGCCACTGTGTGTTGATACTGTGACTTGCTTTTGATTTTTACAGGGGCTCACAGGCAAGAGTTTGCCTTGTTTCAGAGACTTTACACTTGAACTTTTTTTTAGTTAGATGGACACAATATCTTTATTTATTTAAAAAATATTTTTCAGTTGTAGGGGGACACAATACCTTTATTTATTTTTTATGTGGTGCTGAGGATTGAACCCAGGGTCCCGAACATGCTAGACGAGCACTCTACCACTGAGCCACAACCTCAGCCCCGAATTTTTAAAATATTTATTATTATTTTTTAAAGAGATTTTTTTTTTAGAGAGAGAGAATATGAGAATTTTAATATTTATTTTTTTAGTTTTCGTCGGACACAACATCTTTGTTTGTATGTGGTGCTGAGGATTGAACCTGGGCCGCACACATGCCAGGCGAGCACGATACTGCTTGAGCCACATCCCCAGCCCCTTAATATTTGTTTTTTAGTTGTACACAATACTTTTATTTTCTTTATTTATTTCTATGTGGTGCTGAGGATTGAGCCCGGGCTTCACGTGTGCTAGCTGAGTGCTCCACCGCTGAGCTACAACCCCAGCCCCACAATCTCTTTATTTTTATGTGGTGCCGAGGATCGAACCCAATGCCTCACATGTACATGGCAAGCACTGTGCCACTGAGCCCAGCCCCAGGCCCAGCCTTGGACTTCCGGGCAATGCTGGAACTGTCAGGACTATAGGACTCTTGGAGATGGACTTCAGGCAGTTTACATGGTGAGATGGATGTGAGCTCTTGAGGGCTGGGTGGAATGTTAGGGTTTGGGTATGAGGCATCTCCCTAAAGCTCCTAATGCAGGAATATTCGGAGGTAAAGTGATTTTAAGAGCTGTAATCTCATCAGTACATCCTAGTTTGACTGGGTCTTAACTGCAGGCAGGTGGGGTGTGCCCTGGAAGGGTGGTCTTCTCGCAGCCCCTTCTCTGCTCCCTCATCCACTTCCTGATCCAAGAGCAGAGCAGCTTTCCTCCAGTGGCCCTTCCCCATGATATGCTGCCCCACCTTGGGTCCAGAGCAGCGGAGTGGGTGGTATCTAGACTGGCACCTCTGAAACCAGAGCCCCCAATAAACTTTGTCATTTAGGTTGTTTTGTTGGGTACTTTGGTCACACCAACTCAAAGCTGAAACATCCTGGGAGTGTTCTACATGGGAGGAACTTTGGTAATCCTGTCAAGACTGGCCCATCCGGGCTGGGGATGTGGCTCAAGCGGTAGAGCACTCGCCTGGTATGCGTGCGGCCCGGGTTCGATCCTCAGCACCACATACAAACAAAGATGTTGTGTCCACCGAGAACTAAAAAAAAAAAAAAAAAAAAGACTGGCCCATCCTAGATGAGAGGTCATGGTACCACTGTGCTTCCCCACATAGGAGTCTTCCCTGTTCACACTGTGGTGGCTGCTTGCTGTTGCCCGGCTGAACTGAAGCTACCCACCCCCTTCTCAGTTTTTCTGCCTTGTAGTGACAACGGAATGCATGTTCTCTGCAGCTGTTACCAGAGGACCCACTTCAGCAAGATAAGAGTAAAGGAGGCCAGAAAACGCTACAGGGTACAGGAACAGGAGAGAGAAAAGCTCCTGCCCACAGTCTTGTAGCAGGCTGGAGAGCAGACGGCCTAGGTCCGAACAAGGGGGCACCAGGCTCTGTGGGGTCTCCAGATGAAACACAACTGATGTGCCCGAGTCCTTGGAAAAGGTTACAGACAAGTCGGGGGGTGTTGGAGCCTTGGGAAAAACAAACAAAAGTACCATGCGTTAGTAAAAAGCTGTATAGGAAAACCGAAGACTGCAGGATGGGAGGCACAAGCCATGGCTTCAGGCCATGGCAGCAAGCAGCAACAGCAGGGGCGCAGGGATCCTGAAAAGATAAGGGACAATTAGGGAGGCAACATGAACATTTGAGGGGGGGCCAAGCTCACTGATCTCAAGGGAAGTCCTCAGGTTCGTCTAAAATCACCAGTAAAGGGTTGGATTGTGGCTCAGTGTCGTCTAGCACAGGCGAAGCCCTGGGTTCAATCCTCAGCACCACACAGAAATAAATAAAGGTATTGTGTCCAACTGCTTCTAAAAAAAAAAGTTGAAAAAATAAATAATAAAATTAGCAGTAAACATGGGGGCTGGGGATGTGGCTCCAGCGGTAGCGCGCTCGCCTGGCATGCGTGCGGCCCGGG